TTGTGTTGTAGTCTCTTACAGTTTTAAACTCTGCATACTTCACAGGCATTAGTGCCTATTTGTTTTGTAAATATCCCTCCTTAATAAGGGAATATTATGTCCTCATTTTATGCAGTGAGAAGTAGACAAAGAAAGATGATCAAAAATATTTGTATAACTACCTCTATAGATATGTGTAGTGGGCTCGAAGTTCAAAGCTAAACTCTCAAAAGATGAAAAATGTGTAGTTATCAACAGTCTGATTTCAGTGTTTGGGTAGATGCCTCTAGAAACTGTCTCATATAGGTATTCAGCAGAGGCCGTTGTATAATGTTGTGCATTACATAGGGAACATCTAGTTCCTCTGAATTCCAACCTTAAAATCACCTCCTTCATTCTGAAGACTCCTCCCCAGAGGAGGTAAGTCTGCTAAGTGAGAAGGAAACCATACTGGAAGTTGTACTTAATTTTCTAACTAGAGGAACATTGTTACATTTTATAGTGCTTGGGGCAAATAAAGGTTCTATTAGCATTAGATCACATTAATTCTGGAATACCCTCTCTCTTGATTGATCTTTGCAACTGTAATATTATTTTTTCTTTTTTTATATTTTTTTTTAATGGAAGTGGTATGAGGCAAGTTTTGTGAATTAACAAAACAATAATAGTAAACAAAGCCATAAAGTAATGTGTTGCTGCAGAGTGAGATATCTGATACCTTAGATTGCTAGCAGGGCTTTTAGAATCATTGCTAGAATGGTGGCATATGAATGAATCATAGAATGGTTTGAGTTAGAAGGGACCTTAAAGATCATCTAGTTCCAATCACCCTGCCATGAGCAGGGACACCTCCCACCAGACCAGGTTGCTCAAAGTCCCGTCCAACCTGGCCTTGAACACTTCCAGGGAGGGGACAGCCACAGATTCTCTGGGCAACCTGTTCCACTGTCTCACAACCCTCACAGTAAGGATTTCTTCTTAATATCTAATCTAAATCTATCCTCTTTCAGTTTAAAACCACTACCCCCCCATTCCTGCCCTCCTTGATAAGGAGTCCCTCCCCACCTTTCCTTTAAGTACTGGAAGGCCTCTGTAAGGTCACCCTGGAGCCTTCTCTTCTCCAGGCTGAACAACCCCAACTCTCTCAGCCTGTCCTCATAAGGGAGGTGCTCCAGCCCCTAATTGTCTTTGTGGCATCCTCTGGAGCCACTTGAGCAGCTCCATGTCCTTCTTACATTGGAAGCCCCAGAGCTGGACACAGTGCTGCAGGTGGGGTCTCATGAGAGCAGAGTAGAGGGTGGAGAATCACCTCCCTTGACCTGCTGGTCACACTTCATGCAGTCCAGAATAAGGTTGGCTTTCTGGGCTGCAAGTGCACATTGCTGGCTTGGTCAGTTTTCCATCCACTAATAACCCCAAATCCTCCTCCTTAGGGCTGTTCTCAATCCACTCATTGCCCAGCCTATATTTATCACTGATGTACCCACAGAAGCTTTTCTTGTAGCCATTGATGTCCCTGGCCAGATTTAATTCTAACAGGGCTTTGTCTTTCCTAACCTGATCCCTGACTACTCGAAACAGTTTCTCTGTATCCCTCCCAGGCTGTTTGACCTTGGTTTCACTTTGTAGGCTCTCTTTTGATGTTTGAGTTGTCCAGGAGCCTCCTGGTGTTCTTACCTGACTTCCTCTTTGTTGCGATGCATCACTCCTGAGCTTGGAGGAGGTGATCTCTGAATATGAAACAGCTTTCTTGGGCCCCGGTTCCCTCCAGGGCTTTATCCCATGGTACTCTGCCAAGCAGATCCCTGAAGAGGCCAAAGTCTGCTCTCCTGAATTCCAAGGTAGTGAGCTTACTGTGCACCCTCCTTGCTGCTCTCTAGGATCTTGAACTCCACCATTTCATGATCACTGAAGCCAAGGCTGCCCTTGAACATCACACTCCACACGAGCCTCTCCTTGTTGCTGAAAACAATTTGATAATGGAGAATGGTTTATATAATCCTATTCTGTATGGATGGATGTTAGTGGGGATTCCGTCCTTCACTGCCGAGGTTTTGCAATGCTTTTTGTTGTTTTTTTTTCTGATAATTTGGTATCTTTGAACATGAGCAGTCAGAGATTTGTAATGGAATGTATTCAGTATCTGTTTCTGTAAATAGTTAAAAGGGAGTTTCTGGAAAATTACTTGCTCTGTTAGTTTCGTAGAACCATGGAGGCTGGAAGGTACCTTGGGGTGGGGTCATCTAGTCCAGCCTTCTGCTAAAAGCAGATCAACACTGAATTCAGATCAATTTGCTCCAGCTTTTTCCAGCTGGACCTCTAAAACCCCCAAGTATGTTGATTCTGCAGTCTCTCTGGCCAACCTCTTTCAGTGCTTGATTATACTGATTTTTAATTTTTTTTTTTTTCTCTGCTGTGTATCCAGTCAGAACCTTTTTTAAGGATATGATTGCTGTCTCCTGCCTTTCTGCTATGAACCTCAGTAAGGAGCTTGGCTTCATCTTCTCAGTAACTTCCCCATAATGCTGAAAGACTACTGTTATATCCCTAGCCAGCAATGTTGCTGGAATTTAGTCAGTCCCAGATGCAGGACTTCCTTTGTCTTAGTATTTCTGGAATTCCCTGTCAGCCTGTTCTTACAATCTGTCTAGATCCTTCTGAATGGTATCCCTGCCCTTGAATGTATTGCACTGATACTTCTGCATTGCCTGCAGAACTGATGCATTTTCTTCTCTTCCAAGTTACCAGGGGAAAAAAGAAATTAAACAAGATAGTTTATTAAAAATTAAACAAGACTAAAGAATTCCATCTGTAATTGGTGACTAAGTAGAATACAAACAACTAGCCACTACCCTTTGAGCCCAGTGAACCTGCCAGGTTTTCATGCATCTAGTAGTTCATCTGGCACCTTGACATCTCAGCTTGAATGCAAAGTTGCCGTGGGGAACCTCTTATGCGCAGATTTAGTAGTTATGTGGCAGAAGGCAGTCAGGCTGGTTAAGCAGTTTCCCCTTGCAGTGCTACAATGGAATGTAGAAGTTCTAGAAGCCAAATTAACTGGTTATGGGAAGATTATTGTGGATATAAGATAATTGAGCTGTGTGGAGTGAAGAATAGGCTCATGTGCTACATCTGCTTGTTACTATACTAGGTGAAAAACTGATTGCTCATGTTAATATCCTTCTGTCCTAAAGACCACCTGTAGCTATTGGTAGTTGCTTTGAGTTAGAGAAGTTATCAGAGATACTTAATATGCTTTTAGAAATTTTTAGGAATTGATTTCCAAGTATTTTGAATGTTAAAGTTGTTTTTACTCTCCATAAGGTTTCAATAGAGAAATCAAATTAACACTTGGGAAGGAGATGAGAGATATGAAATTAGAGATAAAATTAAAAAGAAAATTTTCAGTATAAATTGAGCAAAAGATCGATTCAATTTTTAGGAGATCAGTGTTTGAATGAGTCATTATTTAATACCTTCACAGTTCTGATCAGTGTGCAGTTTTTCTTTCCTAGGAATGGTAGACCATTCTAAAAAGGAAGGATTGTAAACGTAAGAGTAGACTAGATCTCTGAAATAATTGAAAAATATGAAGTGATATATTAGTAGAGCCAAAGGAGAATATATTTGCAATTCAGGTAATTTTCTAAAATAAAGATTATTAATATATACAACTATAATCTCTACATGAAACACTGGTTTGGGGATTGTCATCCTAAAATACAACAATCCAAACAACTGTTGAAAAAAGAGAAGGCATTGATCTGCATATATAGATAATTTTCTCTTCGTTTTCACCTTAAAAAAAAATAGATTGCATTATTTTTGTGTGAAAAGCACTGTCACTGTTAAGTCTATTAAAGAAATACATGTTTTCTAAACCTCTGATTTTTCTCTCTTTAACAGGGAGTGTCTTGGACAGCATGAGGTGAGTCATGGAAACCGTCTTTTAAAGTAGGATATGAAGTATATCTCACTGTGTCAGTCTGAGAAGAATGTATTAAAGAGGGATATTATATGGCTTTTTTATATTTTAAAACTGATTAAGTACCTTACCATAAGAGCTTACATATCAGAAGGTATTTTAGTTCCTTCTTGCATATATAACTACTTGATTTTTTAGAATTCTTGGATATATTTATGAAGCTATTTATGTATTCTTGCAGTTGTTAGTATTGAAATTTTGGGGGGATTTGTGTGTGTCTTTTTGCATTATATACTTCTGGTTATTTTTTCTTTCCTTATTCTATAGTTATTTTTCTCTCTCTGTCACACACTGTTCTCCTAGAAACTGCTGTGTTTCTTTTAAAAGGATAAGGAACATACTGTCATACAGGAAAATTCTTGTGTGACTTGGATCTAAGCATGTATGGATGAAATCAGTCAATACAGTGAAACTTCTTTAGGGTTACTCATTAGCTTGTCTTTTAGTGTGTAGCCTTCCCCAGTTTTAGTTGAAGTCATTGTCTATTTTGGCTTACATGAGAAGAAAATCTAATTGACACTTGAAGCTAAGCAAATACCGTCATTATTCATGGTAGTTTCTGGAAGTCATGAAATTGAAGGTCAAGTTGTGTTTTTCAATTTTATAAGATGATTGCTAAACTAATCTTTAATAAAAAACCTACTGCTATTATAGCTTTGTCTACTAGTAAATCTAGCATAAATACACTACAAAAGTGCAGCTAACAATATTATAACAAACCTAGTTTCATTTTAAGCTAGTAAAAAATCATAGAAAACAGTGAACACTTAAAAGTATTTAGATACCCCCCCCCTATTTTTTTCTTTCACCTTCTTTAATAATTCTTTAATAATCTTTTGCTCTGTGTTGTAATGGTGACTTGGTTATGTGGTGACAACATCTATAAATATTGTTAACAAAGTTTATATATGTGCAATCTGATTGTGCAGCACATTTATTAATCCAGTCAAGCTGTGAATACAGCTTCCATAGAGCTACTTTGCAGCTGGTTGGTTGCTAAAGAAAAAAGTGTGAAAATGGATGAAAAGAACAAATGTGCCTATTTGCTGTTGAAACAGCTGGGTTTTGTTTTTGTTTTCCACAGTAAAACTTGCAGGTATATCAGCCAATGTTTTATCCAGTCAGTGACATGTTTTGTGATATGACATATTGAATCTCACCATAACTTTCATGAATTTATGTATAAACAAAATATATGGTCAATTGACCCAATATATAACTTGCTCTAGACAATGTTTTTGGTTTTGGTACTGTTCAGATGTACGTGGTTATGAAGCTTATGTCCCTCCCCGTAACAGAGGACAGTGTGGCTGCTCTTATTAGAGAAAATGGCTGGAATTACTACATATTTATAAATACTTTTTTTTCAGAATATTCGTAGCACAATTAGCCAATGGCTGCTTTTTTTTTTTTTTTAATGGGTTAGTATAGAAAATAAGCAAGAATTCCAGCGAGTCTATATCTTTAATTATATAGATTTACTGATGCTATATGATATTCTAGTTTAAACATTCTTCTCTCAGCCAGCAGAGAGCAGTGCTTCCTTCCTGATGAAGTTTAGCAGTTCTGGAGTGGAATGAAGTGTCCTTATCTTTGAGATTTTGATAGCAGTCGAGGAAAAGAATAATTTGTTCATGTTTGTGTCAGTGGCTGTTTACAGTGTATTTTATGTGCATTGTAGATTTTTATGTTGTTCTGAGGTCTCTAAAAAGAAAAAAACAAAACATGTAATATCTGTTCAGTGTTTTACAGCCACATTGACACTTAACAAGTAATCTTACTGCAAACTACTTTTTTGTTAACAAGAGAAAACACTTGTATGTATTTATGAACACTACCCTCCTATACTAGTTTCCAGCCCCTGAGGGGATTTTCACTGAGAACTGCAAATTTTTCACAAGTGCTGAAAGCAGCAATTTTGTCCGGCAAACTTTTTCTGTGAAGATGGGCTCATTGCTGTACTATGTTGTTACTAATGTTGGACTGTTTTTATACCTCCTGTAGTGGAGGAGGTATAAAAGAAACAAACTAGGAAGGAAACAAGTTATAAAGTCATGTATTGTACTGGGATGCCTGCAGACAATGAGTAGAAGAGAGAATGAAAGCAAACCGTTTAGGAGCTGTATAATAAGCAGATCTACAGGCTTTACACTTGGACAGTAATTTTAATTTGTGTACATATTGGAGTTGGTTGTTCTGTTGGGATTTTTTTTTTAATTTCACTTTGGCACTTTTAAGGGATTGATTCAATTCAAGGTCTTGCTTGTTCAAGATACTCAAAGACATGTAATTTATCACTTGAAACAACAGACTTAAAACTACTTTTCAGATTATATGTATAAAATTTGTGTTCAGTGGAAGTATGATTCTGCATGGTGTTTAAGCAAGGATTTTTTTTAGCTACAGTATGCAACTTTCTTTTAAATAATTGTACTGTGTAAGTTTTGGACGTTTTTACATATATTTAGAAGAAATTAATAACTTCATTTTTAAATTTGTATGTGCTTAAAGGTAGCTCTCAATTTTGTTACAGGTTGTAGGTCAGAAAACTCACATATCATCAACAGTTGCTGCCACTCCAAAATGAAAACTTGATGCTTGATTTTGAACAGCTATAAGCATTGGCATTTCATAGCAGTAGCATACATGTGCTCTTTTAAAATCAAAGTATGAAAGCTAATGTTCAAAGTCTGGTTTTATGGGAAAACATTAATTAAAGACTATACAAGTTAAATGAGGACCAGCAAGGATATCTTAACTGGATATGATGTTAATTTATCTGCTGCATTTAATTTTCTTGTAGTTGCTTTATTTCATTAGATGTTCTAAGGGAAGGGAAACATTCTAGTTTTGTTTCTCTGAGTATTTTGAATATTCTGTAATATCAGTCTTGCTTTTCTTGGGCAGATAGAACTTTCTTCTTGTTTGTTTTTTTTTTTTTTTTTAGGAATTTAATGCTATATTTTATTATTCTAAGGTTTTTCTTAGTTGTGGTTCATTTATAGGAGGAAGACCATTACACTGCCTCTAGGCAAAATTTTATGTAAATCCTGATGAGATTAATCTTTATGGTTAAATACCTTTATGAATATTTCCAAAAGTTCCCTGCCTTATTGTACTTGATTTTTATTTTCATATTCCAATTGATGTGTCTGTTGCTTTTATGCATTTGGGAGATATTCTGGAAAGCTTCTGTAGAAGTTGTCTTGTTCTTTTATCTTTGCCTTCCTTTCCTTATCCTGTGGAAGTCTTGTGGTCTGAAAATGGTGTCTCCTATTTACTTTCTTTTTCCATTCAGCTTTCTTGAAGTACTTCTGGTTTTCATCTGCATTCTTTGTTCTTCAGCTCATCAGCCTCCTAGAGTTTGTGGCTGCTTTGATACTCATCTTTATAGCAAGAGTAGTGACCTCCATTTAGCCATTTCAGAAATGCATTCCAACCATAGAAAGTAAAGTTTTACTCTACTTTGTCGTTTGGACTTATTACTATTTCTGCAACAGATTCACTTGTCAAAAAATGGAAACAAAATTTGAAAATGTAATGTAGGTTCAAATTAATCGAAATTCTTTTGATTTTGGCTGCAATGTCAGTTGACTCCAGAAGACTCTCTTATCCTTTTGGACTTGAGACTTAGGAAGGTCAGTGAGTGGGGCAAGCTGAAGCTGTGTTGGATGCAGCCGGAGGGCTGGGGTGTTCCCTGCAGTTGGCTGGCTGAAAGCTGTTCCTGTTCTCTACTGGCTTGTGTGCCTTCTCTGCCTCTGGCTTCATTCAACATTGCAGCTCATAGGGTGTACCCTGAGGGATGCTACCAGCTAATTCTCTCTAACTGCAGCTAGTGGCTGTGTCCTTATCTGATGGAAGATTTAACTCTTGGTAAAAGAAGTCTCATAAGCATACTCAACTGTGCGGTCACAGACCTAATCTGCTACTACTGCCCTGATCTGCTATTACTGCCTGAGCTGCAGGACAACTAGTGGTCGTAAATATTGGAGTGGAAATGGGGGAGCAAGGAAAGGTAGAGAAGCAGGCAGTGGCGGATCTTAATGCTTAGTGCACCTTTTCATTCATTCTTTTACCTTTCAGTATCATTTGACTACTTATGTTGCTACTGAAAGGAAGTTGTGACTCTGAGAAAGGAAGAGGGAAATGGAGGGGGATGAGAGGAGACAGGACATTAGGAATGATAAAACCTTTGGTAATTGGTGTGTGTTTGGTGGGTATAGCACCATTGTTCACTTTAGACTCTCTTTTTATTAGGCCTATTGCTGGCTTTTGCTCATTTGGTCAACAGAAATGTAAGCCACCAGAGACTGAGTTGTAGGATGTCTGCAGGAGGTTGTATGAACCATGCATTCAGACTGCTTGCTATGGTATTAGTGCTTTAGCCAGCGTAATGAGCTTCAGCTCTGACATGGGCATGGGAGGGCAGTTGGACACAGTAGCCTTGAGGTTTTCTCCTGCATATTCCATCCTTGATGTTGAGCCTGCCATGCAGATTCCTGTTCACAGAGCCTCTGTGGGTCAGGATGAGGAGTTAGAAGTCTTGTGAATGAATTGCATTTTGCAGTGACTTGATGTGGAGTACGTGTGTGGTTTGTTGGTTTTTTTTGTGAAAACACTTCTACAGGCAGTTGGATTCAAATTCTACTTCATATATTTTTGCTTTAGGACTGAGGGAGATCAACACAGACGGTGCTGAAGGGAGAACATTCCTTGCTCTGCCCTGGTCTCTTCCCTCATTTCAGTTCCAGTGGTTACCTGGGTGTATGGCCGATCAACTTGCAAATGTAGCAAAAGACAAGGAACATTTTTTTTTCTATTAATTCCTTTTCTTCCATTTTGATTAGTTGTATTGCCTTGCTCTAAAGTCAGATGTCTAGTAGGACTTGTTCAAAGTAGTAGGAGTGTGCAATTAGGATTCCGCAGTTGGAAGAGAGAAAAGGAAGGTGTACAGTGCAAAGCTGTTCAGTCAACTTAAGCTGTAACACAAAATCACACCCTTAGCCTAGTCAAAGTGACTTATGTCACATTAGCCTATTGTGTAATAACATCACAAATAATTTCTGTTTTTCTCCCCGAAGTGATCATATAAAGAAGAAAATAAATTTTTTTGACAGCATCACAGAAACCAATTTTTAAAAAATGTGAATATTATATAATAGTTGGAAAATGGGAACGAGTTTCCTCTGATACTTGTGATGTGGAGGGACTTGTAACATTCAGCTTTAGGAAAGTAACCTAGTTAACCAAGTTAGGAGTTCACACTCCATTTCGGTACCAGTGAAGATTAAAGGCTTCTAAATTGGTGCTCTGAATAGTACTACAGAGCTCTGTTAGCTGGAGTGTTAACCTCAAGTTAGAAAGTACAAATATATCATAAAACATTCAAGTCCTAGTCCTGTCATAGAGCTATTTTTTCTTCCCCTTCCCTCTCCTGGGAGTTATGTTTGATATAGTCTGTAATTGGGGTTTAGAATTTCTGGCTTGCAGGTTGTTTTCTGTTTGTAGAATTGTAAAATGTTTTTGGTTTATAATGACCATAATGCAGTTAGTCCAGTGAAAGCAAACTGTAACTGTCTTCTGCAATAACTGTAAAGCAGTTTAGGAACCTTTAATGGAAGACACAAGTCACGAGTGCAATTTGGAAAGGAGGAATAAATCACACTATAAAATATTTGAGATTGTAATAGTCTGGTTAAAAAAAGAAAAATGAAGCTGTTGTAAATGTTAGGTTGTTTATATACCTGGTATAATCAGTGTAAAACTAATTTGTGTGGTTATGTTGGTATAGGGACCTAAAATCTATTAAAAAAAAAAAATCAAACATTGCACTGTTTTTCTTCTTTTAACAACAATACTTAAGAAGCAAAATTTATCTGTAATGATGCTGTGCTTCTTTGTGTGTGTATATATATATATATATATATATGTACCACACATGTGCAATATGTGTATATATACACTATCTGTGTATATATTTATATTTATTTCTTTTTAACTTACAGGTTAGTTCATTACCATGTCACTCGGCAAATCCCTACCCATGTATAAGATTTTGTGGGCGGCTTCTTGATTGTCAGAATCACACCTGTATGAAAGAATGTCATCACGTTACTAAATTAAACAGTACTGAAGATGAAAAGAAGGTAGGTTAATTTCCTTTTTGTTTATTTTATACATTGTCTTCAGCTTTAACTGGAAAATAAAGATCCTGCAGCTGGAAGGCACAGGATCTATTCCAGTTTCCACTGGGAGACTTGCATGTATTCTCTTCACATTGATGCTGTGACAACTAGCTAATGTATACTTCTTTAGACTATGAAACTGAGACAATATTATATATTTTGCAAATGCTACACTTCTTTGGTTTTCTGTCAACATACATTATTTTGTTTTCTTCAAAACCTTAATTAACACTCACTACAAGTCTCTTCTAAAGTCAGTTTTTATAACTGTCAAGATCAAGTGAAACAATTCCTATAGACAAATGCACTTGCTATCTACTGGGGAAACTGTTTACTGAGGAGAGCTGTAAATGGGTTGAGGAGGCTTGCAGATCTTTAGGAGCACGCACTGGAAATGTTGCAGAATAGACAAAAACTTCTTAAAGCATCCGGGTGATATATTCATATATATCAATGTCTACTAGAAACTGCTATGTATGTGATTAAGAAGCTGTAGGTGTTAGTTGCTGAAAATAACACAAGCCAAAAATAAAAGTAAGTACAAAGGTGAAAATTGTTCTAGTTTTGAGCAGTCAGAAGCATGTAGCTTGTGGTTTTAGAGTGTCATGATTTGGAGGAGAATAGCTTTTTAAGTTTTTAAAGCATTACTTTAGAAAAAGTTGCAACGTGGTCTCTCTGGGCATTTGGAAAACTGAGCAAGCGTTCAGCTGAGTACAAACCGTAAATGTTGTATTTTAACTTACTGTTATATTTTAACTTAAATAGGATGATATCCCTGTGGATTCAAGTCTTACAAGTGATGTTGTCATCTACTAACTGTATATATTGCAGCTACTGTATTATTCTATTAATGTTTGTGGAACTTTTGTCTGAGGAGTATGAGCTGTTAGTGTAACTTGTGGAACATTAACCTACAGCAATAGAGTGACATCAGTAAATACAGTGACAGTTGTTTAAGCATCTCCAGTTATGACTTACAAGAGGCGGTCTGCCTACTCCTTCAGTTGAACCAATTAATATGTGAATGGGTCAGGATTATTCCTAGCTCCATTTTGAACGAGAGAATACATTCTCAGAAAACAAGAGTCTTATGTACATGTGAAGTATGGGTAAGTCTTGTTTCTCAATTTTCTTTGAATTTTTATAAACTCAAGTTGGTTTTGACCTTTAGAGCTTTTGTTCTGTTGTTTTGATAGACCAAATTGCAGGTGTAGTCAGAAAAGGGCTAATTCAATTTTTTCTTTATAAGTCTGAGTAGTGATTTTTCTGTCTGGAAGTTAGGTTTTTTTTCCTACATGTTGAGTTAGAAAATTGCAGGAAGGCCAGCTGTTTGCTTTTACCTACTGTTAAATTTTATATCACAATTTTCTAAGTGCTTTCAGTTGCTATTGTCTTTCTTGGATGTGAATTTTTGGGGGTTAAGTTTTGTAAATGGTCATTGTACAAAGGTTCCTTTTTAAACTTCAACAAAAATTGTTCAACTGTAGAAGCAGAAGAAAAGGGTCTGGAAGAAAACCGGGGATAACTGTGTTAGAAACTTAAATTCTTATGTCCTTTTTTTGAACATCATAAAGCAAAATGTTGGCCTAGAATCAGTACTTTTGGGGAAACATTGTGCAGTTTCATTCTTGGATAAATTACTTTGACTGACTTCTGTGAAATTGAGCATTTGTATGTGATGGTGGGCCTTAAATACTGTGCTGTGTAGGTTCAGTTGATAAATCATGCCAATCTGTGTGTATTTGATTGCAGACCGGGGTCTGTATGAGTTAAGATAAGAATATGAATAGAAATGGAGTGTAATTTACTGTGATGATGTTCATCCCATTGTGCTAATATTGGTTGCATCTCCTGGAATGAGAATGACACCACAACTCTTGCAGATTTTGTGTAGTATATGGAGCAGAAGCAATGCCTTAGCAGATCTCAGCATATACCTAAGCTAATTAATTTGCTTTGGAAGATTATGCAAACTGTCATATGCATGTGGAAATGGAATGACTTAAAGCTCTCTTCTTAAAAATCAAACAAACAAAACTTCCCCACCCCTGTATTACAGAGCAGCATGTCATGACTAAAGTATTACAATTACATGGTGGGTGGGAAAAGTTAGTTCTGAATATGAATTTACTTCTTTTTCTAACAGTTTTTCCATAAAGAATTAACAGGCTTAATGGCAGCTTTCCAAAGCACTAATATTGAGGTCTTTTTATGCCCAGGAAGCAAGATAGAACTCTGTCTCTTTGACCAATAAACACTGGCATTTTTTCTTTTATTTTAAAAGCATGTTTTAATAATTATTTTTGCTTGAGGGATATCTTACTGAATAGCTGGATTTCTTTAACAAAAACACCCCAGCTCACTCTTCTATATAAAAGCTTGTTAATGGCATCTAACAAAGAAACATTTGGCACTTTCTTTAGTACTTCATTTTTATTTTGTTAGGCAGGTCCAGAATGTTTGCAGTGTGAAGAGGAGTGTACCAAGCCCCGGCCATCTGGCTGTCCTCACCGATGTGTTTTGCCCTGTCATCCTGGGGATTGCCCGTCGTGTCTCCAGATGCTTAAAATAAAGTGTCACTGCAAACTATCAATACTGTATATTGAATGCTTGTAAGTGTCAGAACTGAACCCAGCTTTTCATTTGAATGTTAGTAACTGGAAACCATTTGAAATGTCTGGGGATGGGAGCTACTCTTATGGCAAGTTATAAAATTTCTTTTGAAGGTTAGAATTTTCAATACAATGCTTTTTTCTCTACTTAAAATTTGCCTGTATTTTATT